CCCCCCCCCCCCCCCCCCCCCCCGCCCCCCTTCCCCCCCTCCAAACAAAGGTCCCCCTGGTAGAGGGCAGCAAGGAGCTACGGTCGCTGCTCCTGTCGAGCGGCTGCGCCACCTTCAGCACCACCCCTGCCTTCGTCAGGCAGCTCTTCAAGAAGCTCGCCTCCCCGGCCCCGGGGCGGCTGGCGGCGCGAGGGGTCGGTTCCGGCGCAGTCGGAGCCAACGGTACGGCCTCCCTGCGCAGCGGAAACCCGAGCGCTCGGAGCACTTGCATCCTGATCCTTCGCTACTGCCTGGAAGACTTGGGTCCCGGGCGCGGCAGCAACGGTCCGGAGAGCGGTCCCCGAAGGGGCGGGGGCAAGGCCGGGGTCGGCGGCCGCAACAAGGGCCGCCCGTCCGGATACGGCGAGCTGGCCGGGTTGCCGCTGGTCCCTCTGGCGGACGGGTCCCACGGCGTGTTCCGGAGCTTCGCGGCGGTGGACGCCCAGAAGCTGGATCTGATTCGGGGCATGGGTTTCAGCGAGGCGAGGGCGAGGCAGGCGCTAGTGAAGCACAAGGAAGTGCAGGCCGCGGTGGAGTGGCTCTCGGGCGGGGGCGGAGGCGGGGACGACACCGGCGGAGGAGGAGACGTCCCGGAGCAGCCGTTCGTTCTCTGCGCGGAGGAGGAGTCCCGCCTCCTCGCCGGCGCAGGTGCAAAACTCATCAGCGAGGCCTCCCTGTCCTCTGCCGAGCAGAGCAAGGGCGGGACGGCTGCGGCGGCGGCGGCGGCGGGGCGGGTGAAGACGGCCGGTGAGGACGACGGGAGGGTGCTGCGAGCGCTGCGCTCCCCAGCGCTGCAGTCCGCCCTCAACGTCACCACGATGCGTGATGACCTCCTGCCCGACCTCATCGGACAGACTTTACCCCCGGAGTGGCGCGGCGCCGTCGCCGCGGGAGGCGACAGCAGCAGCACCGCGTTCCCGTGGACCCCCGGTAAGTCTGGCCACCCGGACGTGGACTGGTTCCGGCGGCTCTGGGGGTACCTCGCGTCATCGCGGCCGACCGCGGTGCGGCTGCTGGCGGAGTCGTACCCGGTGGTGCCCACGGGCAACTCGGTGGTGTGCCCCCTCAGCCTGCGGTCTGCGGTCATCGACGGCGGCAGGCTCAGCAAGGACGTGCGCAACATCCTGGTCGGGGCCGGCTGCCGGACGCTGCTCCCGGGGGTGTTCGCCCGCGGCGTCGGCGACGCGGCGGCGGCATCGGCGGCGGCATCGGCGGCGGCGGCGAGAGAGTCCAAGGCGGTGACCACCGGTGGGACCAAACCCGCAACACCGGAGGCTCGGCAAGAGGGGGACGCCGATGCTGCTGCTGCTGCTGCTGCTGCTGCTGCTGCTGCTGCTGCTGCTGCTGCTGCTACTACTCAGCGACAGCCGTTGCCCCCACCCCCGGTCGAGCTCTTCGAGTACGTGCGCCCGGGCACTCGGGAGGGTGTCCTGGCGGCCCTGGGCACCGCCAGGCGGAGCGCGGGGAGGCCTCTGACGGACCTCATGCGGGCGGCATCGGCGGCGGAGCGGGACGCCCTTCGGGAGTTCCTGGCGCGCGAGCCGGCGAGCGAGATGTCCAAGGTCGAGGTGGACGTCTGCAGGGAGCTGCCCATTCTCCCTCTACACGAGGACGGCCTGGTGGCCGCCCGCGCTGTCGCGAGGGCCGAGATTGCCGCCGCCGCCGCCGCTAGCGGCGGCGGCGCGGCAGCGGCGGGGAATACCGGGAGTGGTTCGGTACCGCGGCTCGGCTCTGGTCAGGCCAGCGACGGCGGCACCTATGCGGCGGCCAACGCTTCCCCGCTGTACCTGCTGCTCGAGACCGGCAACGGTTTCGTGGGCGTGGGGAACAAGGGACAGAACACCACCGACGTTGCCACGTCAGCGGCGACGGAGACCGCACAGAAGTGGCTCGAGACCCATCTCTTGACCCCGAGCTTCGTCAGGGTCCGCGGCGGCGGGGCGGAGGCGAAGCTGCTGGAGGTGCTGGGCGCGCGGCTCGTCGACCGTGCGGCGTTCTTCGTCGAGCACGTGTTCCCCAGGATAGAGGAGCTGCCCAACGGCCTCCGGGACGTGGCGATGGTGGAGGCGCTGCTGGCGGCTCCGAGGCTGTCGCAGCAGCACGGACGGTTCAGGACGGCACTGGCGGAGCTGGAGTTTGTTCCGACCACCAGCAAGGTGAGCGCAATATCATTCGCAGGGTGTTTTGTATTCGATAAACATGTTGGAGCATGCAATCGGGGAAGCTGGGTTAGGGTTAGGGATAGGGAATACGGTCTGCGTACCCCCTGTCTATTCTATGTCCTTCTAATATTGAATCTCCCGTGAAGGCGGTCCGGTGAGCAGCGTCTTTTAGTGCGCACCTATTGTTTACGACCACGAAAGGCGTCTGCGTCGGTTGGACCAGTACGGGTGTTACAAGGTACCACCCAGCGGAGGACCGGAACGGCTGTTCGAAATGTTGTTTGTTGGGGTGCCAACTTGAGGGATGTAACACAGCATTTTTTTGGTAACGCACCGGGTTTCATCTTTACGATCCGGATGAAATCTATTTCTGGGTAGGCGTTTTCTCTCTTGCATGAGCTTTATGCGTGTGTTCCGCGTGAAGGATGTCTTTGTCGCCACCCTTGTCTTGTGTGCTCATTCGTTTGTTTTGACGTTGCTCTGAGCTCTTTGTCAAGTAGGAGAATCAAGCAACGGGCTCATCACCCCCATTAGATACTTTGTGCGCTTTCCAGGCTCCGGCAACGCGACGCCCCACGTAGCGCCCCAGCTCTTGGCTCATGCCGGTAGTCACACCTGGTGGGGGCTGTGCTCTTCTGATCGTGTTCATTAGCACATGCATCGCTACCATTGCGCATGGATGCTGTGCTTTTCTGATCCAATTGGAATTGCAATTGGGTAGCACATGCGTTTGGTACCCTTGGTGATGGATGCCCTTCTTCTCTGATCCGATTCCTTTGGACCTGCCCGGGTACCCTTCACACATGGAATTGTTGAATATTGTTCCAACTCCGTTTTGCCCCCCCGCTCTCGCTGACGTCACGTCCGTGTCCCGGGTAAACAAAAAAAACAAAAAAAGACGAAGAAGCTGGTTCGGCCGCACGAGATCTTCGACCCCGAGGTCCCCGAGCTCCCGTCCCTTCTCCCGGAGTCGAGGTTTCCAGACGGCGTTTTCCGTCACAAGGACGTCCTTGCCGCTCTTCGACCGCTGGGCCTCCAGGGGACGCTGGGGTGGGGCGGGCTGGTGGAGGCTGCCGCTTCCGTCGAGGCGATGAGGCGTGACGGCACGGCCGGGGCGGGGGGACGGGGACCGCAGCATGAGCGGGGGGGGCGTGAGACCGAGGCCCGCCGTGGGGCAGGAGGCCCGCGGCATGAGGAGGGGGGGGAAGAGACCGAGGCCGACGCGCGCGTGAGGGGGCGCGCGCTGCTGACGTACCTGGACACGCACGAGACGCGGCTGTTCGAGCTCAAGAAGGAGAACGCGGGGCTGCTGCAGAGGATGGCGAAGATCGTCTACGTCGACGTGGCGGCGCAGGAGAGGGAGAGGGAGAGGCTCGTGGCCCTCCACAAGCTGATGGCGCTGTCATGGGTGAGAGAACAAGAAAAACCCCGCTGTTTTGAGTGAAAGTGTACCTTCCCCTTGCGCTGATGGGACTCCCGCCTTGTGTGAGACAAGAACGCGGCTGTTTTGTGTGAAATTCCCCCTCCCGCGCCCTTGAGCCTGATGGAAGTGCTGTGTTGGGTGAGATATGTTTGTTTTAACCCCCCCCCCTGAGAGCTTGGCAACGACGTTGTAAAACAAGCCGTCCCCCTCGGTGTTCGCCATCGGGGTTGGGTTTTCGTCGCTTGGCAACGACGTTGTAAAACAAGCCAATTCACCTCGGGAACTCGGCAACCAGGTTTCCGTTTTTTTTTTACCTCTGTTTTTTTTTTTTGCGGTAACCATACTGCTGGTCGAGTAGATCATGTTGTGCGGGGTGGATAACCCTCGCTCCGCGCAAGGGGGATGATCGCACCACGTTGTGTTAAAATGGTCAAGCACCCTCGAGGCAGTTACACAGTGCTTACAACTGTCTCTGGAAGTGAAAGCACCAGAAAATAAATTAATTCATACGCAGCTGTCATCCGTACGCAAGGAAGTAAGCACAAGATGCCGAACACCCTTAGCAGGATGCAGCGCACCCTTCATGCGACTCGCCGAATATCTCACGGCGCTTCGCGCTTGGTGATGTGAGAGCCTGGTCCGGTGAGAACCCGGCGTGCTCCGTCCCGGCTTTGTAGGGATGCGAGGTCAATGGTCTAACGACTACGGCATGCACGACTATGAGTACCCCCCCCCCCCCCTGAGATATGTTTGCTTGAACCCCCCCCCTCCCCTGGAGACCCAACACGTAATGGCGTTGTGTTGGGTGACAACCTCACCCTCCATCCCCCTCGTGGAAACGCTGACATTCGCTGGACCCGGCATCATCTCTCGAGTGTGAAAAATTTTGCCTGGTTTTCTTGAGGCGGGGCGTTTGTACCCCTCGAACGGCCTTTCGTACAGCTTCCGATGTTTTTTGATCACCTCCGGGCTGAAACCACGCTGGGCGAATGGTTGGTATTGAAGTTGCTCGCACAAGACGAGAACCGGAGATGACACGCACGAGAACGAGGTTGGTCGTAAAGTGCAGAGAGTTCGTAAAGTGCAGAGAGTCACCGTCAGACAGGATTGCGTCCGGTCAAACGGTCGAATCGCGCCCACACTTTCTGGAAATATGAAGTGACGCCGTTGAGGGTGTGTCGTCCGTAACTGGCCCGGTGAGAACCCGGCGCATTCCTACAATGGCCTAACAACTACGGCCAGCACGACCATGAGTACCCCCCCCCCACCCC